TGCTTTCAGTTATTCACTCAACAAATATTTATTGAGTGCCTACTGTATGCCAAACAGGCCCCTAGGCACTGGGGCACAGCATGAATAAAACAGATACACGTCTCTCAAATATAACTCAGTTTAATGCATTTTTAAATTCTATTTCCCAGGGCTGTGGTCCTTTCCAGATTATCTCTTTTCAGATAAATTTTACTGGATTTGACTCTACTTGTTACCAATATTCCTATTTGCTTTTTTCTATTTAAATATAATATATCATATAATTATAAGTTATATATTATACAATGTGGTATATATAATATATAGTGAAATATACATGTACAAAGAAGTGTATAGAAAATATGTTGTTTATATGTATTATAAATTATATAATGAAAAGGTATATAATTTTCTGGATCAAGAAATAGAATGTTTTCAACAGAGGGCTCCTAAATGTTTTTTCCTAATAATAACACCTTATTCTCTTCCCTAGAGAAAATCACCGATTATCACTAAGAGATTATCAGAGACAATGTTAAACACTTCCTTTTATGCTTAATAGTTTTCCTTTCGATTCTGTATCCCTAAACAATTTAGTTCTATCTTTTTTTTAAAACAATTTTTGTATAGGTGGAATATACAATTTGAATTCTTGTGACTCTGGCTTCTTTCTTGCAATATTACGCTTTGAGTACTTACCTGTATTGTTACATGAACTTGTAGTTTGTCCATGTTCATTACTGTGGAGCAGGTGTCTTCAAACTTCAAGGTGTGTCAGAGTCCCCTGGAGGACTTGTTAAATCACAGATTGCTGGCCCCCAGCCAGAGATTCTGAATTAGTAGGTTTGGGACAGAGCCCAAGAATTTGTATTTCTAACAAGTTTTGAGGTGATATTGATACTGTTGTTAAGGGCACCCCACTTTAAGAACCACGGCTGTATAGTGCTCTATTATATGCATATACCACAATTTAATGATTCATTCCTTTGGTTTGGGGCTGTTACTTAAAATGCAGGTGTGAACATAATTGGATCTGTCTCCTCCTTCTTATTTCACCTGCATTCTTGTGGTATAACTTTGCTGGATATAGAATTCTAGAGTGACAGGTATTGGGATTCCTTAGCAACTTGAAGGTGGCATTACATTGTCTTTTTCTGACTTCCATTGCTCTTGTTGAAAAGTCAGCTGTCAGTCTGATTCTTGCCCCTCTGAAATTTCTCTGGTAACTTGAAATTTTTCTTTTGTGTTGCCAATGTATCTCCCACTGAATTTGTCATTTTTCTGTTTATAAACTTATTCTTCCTCCTCTGAAAAAACATATTTCATCTGGTTATTTAAATTAGGCTCGGCCGGGCGCGGTGGCTCAAGCCTGTAATCCTAGCACTTTGGGAGGCCGAGACGGGTGGATCACGAGGTCAGGAGATCGAGACCATCCTGGCTAACATGGTGAAACCCCGTCTCTACTTTAAAAAATGCAAAAAACTAGCCGGGCGAGGTGGTGGGCGCCTATAGTCCCAGCTACTCGGGAGGCTGAGGCCGGAGAATGGCATGAACCCAGGAGGCGGAGCTTGCAGTGAGCTGAGATCCGGCCACTGCACTCCAGCCTGGGCGACAGAGCGAGACTCCATCTCAAAAAAAAAAAAAAAAAAAGGCTCTTGAAAGGCATCTTATGTTATTACCTTATCCTTATCTTCCCACTCCCACTCCTCACAAAATTATCAGGTTCTGTTGCTACTATTAATAGTAGCTTCTAATATTTAGTGAGAACTTATATTGCATCAGACACTGCTAAGCACTTTACTTTTATTATCTTATTAATCTATCCCTAAATAGCTCCTGAATCCAGCGTTAGTTTATTAATTTTACTGCTATAACCCATTCAGCCTCTTGTCATTATTTTTTTCTGGGTCATTTAATCATACAACTAACCAGTTCCCCTTTCTTGTCTAATGAGATTTCAGCATGAGCTAAATAAAATGCAGACTGATTATATTGTTCTGGCTTAACACCTTTTAAAAAAATTGAATTTAATTCTTATGTATTTTTTAAATTGATTTTTTCTTGACAAATAAAAGTTGTATATATTTATTGTGTACAACATGATGTTTTGAAATATTCATACATTGTGGAATGGCTAAATTGAGCTAATTAACACATGCCTTATCTCACATACTGATTTTTTCTGGTGAAAAGACTCAGAACCTTTTGGTGGCTCCTTGCTGCATGCAGAGTGAGGCTTATGAAGACCCAGACTGCTCTTCCCTGGGCCCTGTCTACTCCAGTGCCATCTCCTACCCCCTCCTGTGCATGACGTGAGGGCCTGGTGCTGCCACTGTGGCCTTATAAACCCAGCTCAGGACCATTTTGCATGTGATCCTTCTTAATTCCTGAATTGATCCATGTATTAGTCCATTTTCACATGGTTATAAAGAACTACCTGAGACTGGGTAACTTATGAAGGAAAAAGGTTTAATTGGCTCACAGTTCTGCATGGCTGAGGAGGCCTCAGGAAACTTACAATCATGGTGGAAGGTGAAGGAGAAGCAAGCACCATTTTTACAAGGTGGCAGGAGAGAGAGCAAGTGAGTGGGGGAAAACTGTCACATAGTTTTAAACCATCAAATCTCATGAGAACTCACTCACTATCACGAGAACAGCATGGGGGAAACTGCCCCCATGCTTGCAATTCAAGATGAGATTTGGGTGGGAACATACAGCTAAACCATATCAATCCATCTTCTGAATTCCTACCTCCCTTTAAAATGAAATCGAAATATAAGCTCTTGAACTCTTCTGTGTTAGATTAGACTATTCCTTGACAAATATTCACACCTTCCCACTCCTTTCCCCTCTGTCCTCACATCCCTGCGAGGGGTGCACTTCCTACCCTGTAAATGTTGAGCGTGGCCACGTGACTTGCTGAGGCCAACTGAATGTGGGAAACAGTGACTGTGGATTTGGAGCCTCAGAATAAGGGATGTGATGTCTTTCTACTCTTTCCTTCGAGAGATTTGTGCTGACATGAAAACATGCAGCTGCTGGTCTCAGAAGAATGACAGACATATCAGTCAAACCTAAACAAAACCTGTAGTTCAGAACAAAAGTTGGTCAAACCCAGCCAAGTTGAGCTGAGCCCAGCCCACCCATAGTTGGATGAGTGAGAAGTAAAGGCTCATGATATTACGTCTTGGTGATAATTGGCACTTGGGGACTACTGTGGCTTTCATGTGCTTTTCTCCCAAGCAAAGGGGTGAAGTTCCCTTTCCTTTGTACTTCCTTAGCCTCCCATGCTTATGTCTCTCTATGAGCACCAATTATATGACATTGTATTTTCATTATTGTATTATTGATCTATGTTTTATGCCTCTCAGTCTGCTCTGAATTCCTTGAGGGTAGATAATATATCATGTTTATGTTTCTATGTCACTGCTTAAAATTGTATTGCATATAACGGAGGTTTAAAAATGTTTATTAAAATAAAGTGAATGAAAACTTACAGTTGTAGCAGTACTGCTAATTAGTTAACCTGATGATCATCCCACTCAAAACAACTAAAATCAATGACTAAAATATGGGAGAAAATGTATGTTCTAGCAGGGAAATCATGAGCCCCAGAAGTCAAAAACAAAGAGAAAATTGAGAACCCAGAGAGATCGTAAGAGCAATGAAGTCAACTTTTGCAATTGCTGAACCCAGATGACTGAGTTTTTTCTCTCATAGATGGGAGTGAGCTATGACATGGGGCATGGGACAGGAACCAAAGCCTTGGGTCCACTCAAGGGAGAGTCTAAAAAGGGGCCACTAGTCAACTTTAACATCACATGGCCCTCCACCTCAATGTAACAGTGAGCAGGAATTTTATGTCTCAAATCTTGATATTCAGTAGAAGTGAAGAATTCTGCCCTGATGAACTCATAACTATAAACTAGCTCTTACATGTTTAGACAGCTCCAAGTCATGCCACATCACTTGACCTCAATTTGCTCTTGGTTTTATTTTAGGTTGATATACCTCCGGGTGTATGGCAGAAATAAATTCAGAAATCTCTGTAAAAGAGCCTATTTCCAATTCTGGCCTCAATGAATTCCCAAAGATAAATTTGCAAGAAACATGAGGTCACAGTAACATTTTTCCTAAAAAAAAAAAAAAAAAAAAAAAAAAAAAAAAAAAAGCAGGCTACTGGTTGGGTGTGGTGGCTCATACCTGTAATCTCAGCACTTTGGGAGGCCAAGGCAGACAGATCATGAGGTCAAGAAATCGAGACCATCCTGGCCAACATGGTGAAACCCTATCCCTACTAAAAATACAAAAATTAGCTGGGCATAATGGCATGCACCTATAGTACCAGCTACTCAGGAGACTGAGGCAGGAGAATCACTTGAACCCGGGAGACGGAGGTTGCAGTGAGCCAAGATCGTGCCACTGGACTCTAGCCTGGCAACAGAGTGAGATTCCATCTCGATTAAAAAAAAAAAAACAAAACAGGCCCGTAGAAAAAACAGACAGCAGAATCAGACCCATTGGACTTCAGCTAATGCAATTATTGAAGATAATATAAATGATTATGTTTAATATTTTTAAATAAAAGAGGGGTTGAAAGATTTAATGAAGGTGAGAGGAAGAATTGACTTGGGTTGAGAGATTGATACCACTGAGAATCCAGGTAATCACTCTGTCATTGATTGCTTATTTGACTAAATCAATACATTTACTTATTTAGAGATGGGGTCTTGCTCTGCTCCCCAGGCTAGAGTGCAGTGGCTCTTCACAGGTGCCTTCACAGTGCACTGTACCCTCTAACTCCTGAGATTTGGAGGTAAAAGTATTCAATTGATCCTCCTGCCTTAGTCTCCTGAGTAGTTGGGACTACAGGTGCCTGCTGCCATGGCTAATAATATTTATTAAGATTCTAAAATATGCCAGAGAGTAAGATAAGGAGGTTGGATAAATGGTGGAACTAGGAGATAATATAGGCGATATTGGGGTGCTCACATTGGATGGCTTTGTTTTTATTGCATTAGGTTGACTACGGTGAGAAATACTGGAAGAGGAGGTATCGGATGGTTTAAAAGGAATAGAAAATGACGAAGAGTCCAAGACGAATTTCACTTGATTGTTGAACACCGAGCGCTCCTGAGGGCTTGCACATCTGGACGCTGAATTAAAGGACTCCCATGTCAACCAGTGGTAGTGAGTGAACCTGTCCTGTGTCCATTGAGCTAGGGGGTACCACACATGCCACAGTTTTCTTCTCTGCACAATGACGAGTTAGGATGGGTCACAAGAAAGGTTTCTCGTGAGGTTTGGAGGTAAAAGTGAAGTCTGGGTCTTATACTTGTACATGGAAGGATCTGTGAAGGGCATGAAGCTCTGTTGCAGCCCAAGCCCGTGGTGCTCAGCTCTTGGCTCACCTTGGGATGAGCCAGCAGCCACTCTGGTCCTGAGCATCTCCTTCTCCAGGGCCTTTGCCTCCTGCACTAGGTGTTTGTTTAGTTCCACGAGGAAGGAGCAGCTTCTGCAGCAGGCCACGGGCCTCCTCTGTTGGAGGCTCAAGCAGGTTCCTGTCGTTCTCTGAGGCTCCAGCTTGTCCTGAAGTTCTCAGTGTGTCCTTTGTCCTCAACTTTATGTCCACTTCTCCTTGCTGCCAGCCTGTCCTGATGACTTTAGGCTCCTGCCCCAGATTTAAAAAGGTAGCCTCCTCACATAGGCTGTTTAATGAGCTCCTACAGTTGCTTGAGCTCCAATCTCTACAACAAATCCTCAGTCACAATCCCCCCTAGTGGTTCTGCTTCATCCATCAAACCCCGAATGATAGAAGGAGCATGAGTCAGCCCAGTCTCTGACCTTGCCCAATCATTTAGTGGTTTAGACACAGACAACATTGGATTTCCTGTGGCCACATCATGAGCTCAGGTCCTTCGTATTTGTTGGCAGAGCAAAGGAAGTAGCAGAGTGAGGCTGTGATATATTATAATCCAGCACTTTTAAACATTTTGGTCTCAGAACACCTTGACACTCTTAAAGTCTGTTGAGGATCTCAATGAGATTTTGTTTAAGTGGGTTGTGTCTGTTGGAATTTATTGCAAAAATTAAGACTAATTAAAAAATTACAAAACAGATTATTCATTTAAAAATAACAATAAGCCTATTACATGTTAACATAAAAGTACATTTTTATGGAAATAACTATTTTGCAAAACAAAAACAAATGCAGTAAGCACAGTAGCTCGTTTTAAATTTTTTTGCAACTCTGTAACATCTGGCTTCATGGAAACCAGCTGGATTTTTATATCCGCTTCTGTATTCAAACTTTTGTTAACATTCTGTGTCTGGTAGGCTCTGGAAGACTCCACTGCATATTTGTGAGAGATTAACAGTGAAAAGGAAAATGGCCTCTTAGTAATATTGTGAAAATAGGTTTGTCTTTGCAGACTGCTTGAAATTTTCAGGTTCCCCGTGGGTTCCCAAACCACCCTGGGGGATTGTTGGGTTAGTCTAAGGGCTGAGTTTACGGGTGAAATGTTGGGGGGTTATGAGTACTGGTCAGGGTTTCAGGAGAAAAGTGAAGATGCGTCAATGGCTGTCTGGCCACTTCAGGGCCTTGGGATAGAGAAGAGGAAGGTGAGCACGAGGAAAGGGTTTTCATGCTGTTGCTGTTGTAGTCGGAGACGTCATGAGTGTTTCTTCGTACCTGTCAGTTAGTTGTGGAACAGACTGTGTTGCTCTTTCTAAGACTTAGGCTGGAGCAATGAGAAGCCAAGAAAATTTTAAGAGATGATGAAGACGTTTTGTGGAAGATTCAGTAGTTCTATGGTTCTGTAGGAAATAGTGGGTATGAATCGGGGTGATGTGGGTAATGGCTTCAACATCGATTACCACAGTTACAGCCAGAGTTACAATGCCCTGAAGACTCATTTTGTTGGCCGTGAAGAAGTTCCTGTCTTTGTGGGTCATGAGATACTGATGTAGACTGGAGTAATCGCCTTCCCTTTTATCCACTCACAGAGGCACTGTATATCCTCATTCCCTCCCACATGTTGGCAAAGAAAAATCTGGAAATGCACTTGGCCTTTCTCTCAAATGCCTGTGTGTGTGCACCCATGAGTACTGCATGCACAGAGCAACTTTCCTGCTGTGAATCCTCCTCTTTCCTTCCTAAGAACACAGCCTTCAGCTCCACAGCAGGAGGGGCCTTCTTTAGGCAACATTTTTTACGATAAAGCATTGTACCCTATCCTGGGCTGGACAGATGAAAACTTGAATGCAGTCAGTGCTGAGCTGCTTTCTCCTATCGGAGTAGAGAGTGGAGTGGAGAGTGGAAGAAAGATTTGGCACTTGTTCCTCCACTGCTGCCAGGTACGTTGTGTTTCCTAGTTCTTTCCAAATAGGTGATGAGTGGGACTGAACTGTTTCCCAGAAAAAAAAAAAAGCTGAAATCTAAACTCCAGCAGCTCCCGGTCTGCCTTTGCTGACAAGTCGAAGTCTAACAGTGGCGAGGAAGGCAGACCCGAAACACCGTCATCACATTTTTTCTGAAACTGCATTTTCTTTTACTCTATCATATCCACATTCAAACAAAAGAATGTAACATTTTCATTTTAAGAAAGGCGTGATATCATGTATCAAAAGCTTCCATGATCCCTGGCTCTTCTTCTAGTGAAAATACAAAGGTGAAGGTGTATAATGAAAAAGAATCTGTACATGTTTTTTGGTTGCAAGCATTCATATTTTCCATGCGGAAGTGAGCCAATGCACTAGATCACCTCTAAAAGTTTCTTTTATAGTTTGTTAATGCACATACCTTTAATATTTATTTTATTGGGCCCTGTGATGGTTAATATTAAGTGTCAACCTGATTGGATTGAAGGATGCAAAGTATTTGTTTCTGGGTGTGTCTGTGAGGGTGTTGCTGGAGGAGAATAACATTTGAGTCAGTGGACTGGGAGAGGCAGACCCTCCCTTAATCTGGGTGGGCACCATCCCCTCGCTGCCAGCATGGCTAGAAAAAGCAGGCAGAAGAATGTGGAAGAAGCAGGCTTGCCGAGTCTTCCAGTCTTCATCTTTCTCCCATGCTGGATGCTTCTGCCCTCGGACATCAGACCCCAAGTTCTTCGGCTTTTTGACTCTTGGACTCTCAGGCCTTCAGCCACAGATGGAAGGCTGCCCTGTCAGCTTCCCTACTTTTGAGGTTTTTGAAACTCAAACTGATCCACTAATGAATTCCTTGCTCCTCAACTTGCAGACTGCCTATCGTGAGACTTTACCTTGTGATTGTGTTGAGTCAATTCTCCATAATCAACTCCTGCTCATATATACATATATCCTGTGAGTTCTGTCCCTCTAGAGAACCCTGACTCATACGGGCACTCAGTGTGAATGACAGTGGTGTCTGATTCTTCTTATCTATAAGCCTTCCATATCTAGGAAAGCTTGCAAATCCAATCATATATTTGTCTGTATGTATGTGGGGTGTGCTGTGTGTGTGAGTGTGTTTGTGTATTTGTGTATATTTACATGTTCTGGTTGTGGTACCCGTGAGTTGATCAACATTGAAAGGGAAAAAATGACTTTTACCAGACTCTGAAATTGCATCATGAATAAAGTTCTATTAGTTCTGCCTCAACCTACGTTGTTCTGTATCTTTCTCTGCTTACTGTGTGTTGCCTTGTTTTTTTAGCAAATACATTTTTTCATATTTTGGTCTCTACCTGCAAGAGTAATAATGTGTCTTTTACATCCCTACGAGAGTTCTTTAGTTTTTCAGTGGTAGCCTCTGACTCACTATTACCAGCCTAAAAGTATGAGTCTAGAAGATATACTTGAGCAGAAAATTTAACATTATTTAATTTACATGATTTAGGCAATTTACTGACTCAGGCAATGCGAGAGATGATATGAACAGTCATTTGCTCTTCAGAGACTGAAAAACCTTTCTTTTCTGCCAAAACATTGTTATTAGAACTTTGTTGAATGTCAGAGATAATTTGGACATTAGCTCATGAACTTTTCTTAACTACGTATATTAATATTCTAGACTTTTAGTATGTAGTCACTAAAATTGTCTTTTGTGGTTTAACAAGTTAATGCTGTTGAAAGTTTTACAGAATTCTAAATTTTCTCAATTGATATGAAAATAAAATTCACATTTACTAATTTGAATTGTATTTATCATTTATTATAAATAATATTAACAAAATATTTTTGAAAGTTTAATAAAGAAATTTAGAATATAAATTTAGATTGAAACAAGGGAGGCAATACCTCTTGAATTTATATTTGAGAGCTCATCTCTAAGTGTGCACTTAATAGTTAGAGATGTTGAAAGCCAGAGATTTTAAAAAAGGTTAATGTATTAATACCATATTTTATTTTGGGAAAAATACTACTCCCTATTATTTCCATCAGTCATTTTTTGTTACAAAGCAACCCAGTCACCTCTGGCAGGTTTAAGAACTATAAAATGATAGTATTTTAAAAAAGAATATTGGGTAGGTTACATGATTGCCAGGAAGGTTAAAGAATCAGGCACATACCTCAAACCTTGCCATAAAATTGCTCTGAAGAACACATCACTGTTCACCCCACTTAGTGTCAAACTCTAGTCTGATGCTGGAGTTGTCCACAGTGCTGCTGGGGTTCCCACTGGCTCAGGAGCTGGACCTTGCTGCAGCTACACTGTGGCCAGAGCATCTCTTGGTCTAGCTCATGTGGATCAGGTGCATCCGGGAGGCAGCCTGGCTGTGCAAGGGCCTGCACGCTAGCTTCCAGGGACAGAGTGAGGCTGGCGTAGCCTGTGCCCTTTTCTGACTAGGGAGGAGGGAGTTTTCTACCTCCCACCAATATTTCTTAGGCAGGGAATTCCCCAAATCCAGGAGTAGGGCTCACACATTCTGGGTGGCCAAAAAAGAGTGCACAGCATAACTTTCCAAGGTGTTTTCACAGTCACGGCTAAGCAAAACCTCAAAGTGACCTGTTAAGGCAGGGAGTTCCCCCGTAAAGGGAGTTCACCTGAAAAATCAGGGAACAGTCTCTGAAAGAGCCAATTCCACATCTTGCTTGTCAGTGACGGGTTTAGGAAAAGCACGTCTTCAAACTGGGGTAGATGACTGTTCCACAGAGGCAGCAGATTGTCTAAACTGACCTTAAATGGTGGAGTGTAACTCATGACACCCTCCTGCACTCCTGAAGTC